TTGTCGTTTGTTCCTTCTAGTTCGAGTACTTCTTTGCCATTTGATATTATTCATAGTGATCTTTGGACATCTCCCGTATTGAGCTCCATGGGGCATAAATATTATGTTTTGTTATTGGATGATTATTCTAATTTCCTATGGACTTTTCCATTAGCTAGGAAATCAAATGTGTTTGATAAATTTTTGGAGTTCAAAGCTCATATCCTTAACCAATTTGAGCGAAATATTAAAAATGTCCAATGTGATAATGGGAGGGAATTTGACTGGGAATTTTGTAAGAAAAATGGCATGTCCTTCCGTCTTTCTTGCCCTCATACCTCTTCTCAAAATGGAAAAGCCGAAAGGAAAATTCAAACTATAAATAATGTCACTCGAACTTTATTAGCACATGCCTCTCTTCCACCTTCTTTTTGGCATCATGCGTTACAAATGGCTACTTATCTTCTTAATGTGATTCCTAGCAAGTTATTAGGAAACCTCTCCCCTCTTCAAATTCTATATCAACGGGTTCCCTCTTACGCTCACATCCGGGTTTTTGGTTGTTTGTGTTATCCTTTAATTCCTTCAACTGCAATCCACAAATTGCAACCTCGATCAACACCTTGTGTATTTTTGGGTTATCCTACTAATCACCGTGGTTACAAATGTTATGATTTATCATCAAACAAAATTATAATTTGTCGCCATGTGATATTTGATGAGCATGTGTTTCCTTTTTCACAAATGCATTCTCCATCCCAGTCCTCGTATGATTTCTTATGTGATGATTTGTCTCCTTATACATTACATCATATACAACATCATGTTGCTTCTGATTCGTCCAAGCAACAATCCATGCAAGCACCACATTCTCCATCATCTACTGTTGGCTCCATTCCCACGCATGGGAGCCCAACATCCTCTCCTATTCCAAGCCCAGCCCACACGAGTCCAAGTCATAGTGCTCCCTCTGCTGGCCCAGATCTTACCTCACCACCTAGTCTAAGCCCATCTCCACCCTCTAGCCCAACACCAGCAACCCAGACTCTAGCACCTACTCCTCTCATCTCCAAACAGCCCACGATGGTCACAAGAAGCCAACGGGGTATTTTTAAACCTAACAAAAAATATGACCATGCATATGCTACTAAGGTTACACGGTCACCACTACCTCGTAACCCAGTAGAAGCTCTTCGTGACCCGAATTGGAAATTGGTCATGGATGATGAATATGATGCTCTTATTAAAAATAAGACGTGGGAGTTGGTGCCCCGTCCACCTAATGTAAATGTTATTCGTTCTATGTGGGTGTTTGCTCATAAAGAAAAATCTAACGGTGTTTTTGAGAGGCATAAGGCCCGTCTTGTAGGTGATGGGAAAACTCAGCAGGTTGGCATTGATTGTGGCGAAACTTTTAGTCCGGTGGTGAAACCGGCTACTATTCGCACAATCCTTTCTCTATCTTTATCAAAGGCATGGCCCATTCATCAATTGGATGTGAAAAATGCTTTTTTTCATGGTGAGCTACAGGAAACAGTGTATATGCATCAGCCTTTGGGGTATCGGGATCGTATTCATCCAGATTATGTATGCCTGTTGCGTAAGTCTTTGTATGGGCTCAAGCAGGCACCTCGGGCTTGGTATAGGAGATTTGCAGATTATGTCATTTCCCTTGGGTTCTCAAATAGCACATGTGATAATTCTTTATTTATCTATCGCAAGGGTCGTGACATGGCTTATCTTTTGCTTTATGTTGATGACATCATTCTCACTGCTTCTTCTCATGCTCTCCAGTTGTCTATTATGCAACTACTCAGTTCAGAATTTGCTATGAAAGATCTTGGTCCTTTAAATTATTTTCTTGGTATTGCAGTGTCTAGACATAAGGGTGGTATGTTTCTGTCCCAACGCAAGTATGCTGAGAAAATAATTGAGCGAGCCGGAATGTCTTCCTGCAAGCCGTGTCATACTCCTGTTGACACTAAGGAGAAGGTTAGTGCTACGTCTAGTACTACTTATGAGGATCCCACTCTTTATCGGAGTCTTGTTGGGGCTCTTCAATATCTTACTTTCACCCGACCAGATATTTCATATGCTGTTCAACAAGTGTGTTTACATATGCATGATCCCAGAGTTGACCATATGCAAGCTCTGAAACGCATAATTCGGTATATCCAAGGTACACTTGATTATGGTCTCCATCTCTACCCATCTTTAATGTCGTCTCTTGTTTCTTATACTGATGCTGATTGGGGAGGTTGCCCAGATACGAGGCGATCTACATCTGGTTATTGTGTATTTTTGGGTGATAATTTGATTTCTTAGTCTTCTAAGAGACAACCTACTCTATCTAAATCGAGTGCCGAGGCCGAGTATAGGGGTGTAGCCAACGTCGTTTCTGAGTCATGTTGGTTACGAAACTTGCTTTTAGAGCTACATTGTCCGATTAAAAAGGCTACAGTTGTTTATTGTGACAATGTGAGTGCTATTTATTTATCGGGAAATCCGGTGCAACATCAACGTACCAAGCATATTGAAATGGATATTCATTTTGTACGAGAGAAGGTTGCCCGTGGTCAGGTTCGTGTTCTACATGTCCCTTCCCGATATCAGATTGCGGATATTTTTACTATGGGGCTACCGCGAATTTTGTTTGAAGATTTTCGTGACAGTCTCAGTGTCCGCCAATCTCCCGCTTCGACTGCGGGGGTGTGTTAAGATATATGTGAATATATTTTGTTATTGTATTTTAGTTAAGCATATATTTAGATTGATATGCATATAATTGGTTACCTAAATGTATGCCTTGTATTATGCCTTGTACTTGGTATATATTGGAAAGTCAGTGAATGAAATCCCTTGAGGAAAATATTTCATCAATTCTATTATTTTTCTTTTCTTCTCAATTGTTACTATTCATACAAATATTGAAATTTCTATTTTAGTTATGTATTGGACCATGGAAGGTTGTGTATGAAATGCATGTTATTGTGTTGCACGTAATGTTTATGCTGTCTTAATCGTACCGTGGTTTGGTATGTTAAGGGATAAGCTCTGATTTTATGATAGAAGATGTGCCCTTCAGGGGTTTGTTTGAATCCATGTTAGTAATTAAAAGGGTAGATTTTATGAGGAGAGCAATTACAAGAGTACTAATTTAGGGAGACAATTTTTACTGATTTGGTACGAAAATAATGAATACATGGCAATTCACCTTATTCAGAAATTTTGAAGGTATTATCTATCATTTTTTTTTTAAAGAAAAAATAAAAATTTAACATTATCTTTTACATTTCTTTTATTTCTATTTTTTTTAACCAAAAATTCCACATGCACAATATTAGAATCGATCCAATTTCATCCCAAATCATAAAATTTACTTGCTTTCAAAGAGAAACCCCACAAATCTAATATTAAATTTAATTTCATTTTTTTTTTCTTTTTGAATCAAAAGTCAAATTAAAATTAAAAAATAATTTGATGACATGTATAAATGGAAGACAATCTTAGCCATGGAAGAAAAGAATGAATTGTGTTGAGTTACCGGAAGAGGATACTGATCAGTTTGACTTGGGTGAATAATTACGAAGAGAGTTACGCTAGGGGGGCTAGAGTAATGCATTTCCCTCATTATGGGGGAATCTCAACTATCGACTATTTTCTAAAAATTCAAACTTTGGGCGACGTATGCTCAATGAACTATTATATCAAGTTATTTGACATATGTTAAGACCTGATTGACCCAAAACATAAAAACAATTAAAAAAAAATGAAAAAAATGAAAAAAAAAAAAAAAAAAAAACAAACCACCATCAGCAGTCAGCACCCCCACCCTCTCCCCTTCCCCCCGCTGGAAACACCCCATCCCCTTCCCGCCCTTCCCTCGCTGAAAATCTTCCCCCATAGAACTCACACTCTCTCCGTCTCCATAGTTCACCAGAAAACAATGGTCTCCGATAACTCTCCTGCGAAGCTCTCCGGCAGCGTAATCGATGATTTAATGTTCAGAATTTGTCGAATGAGCTCGATAATCACGACTCTAATTTTGTTGCAATTGATAGTGATGATAATGGAGTAGAGAAAATTGTTGAAACTGAAGGCGCCAACAATGTCGAAGAATAGGTCGCTTCCTCGAGAACTTTCCAGAAATGTTTTTGTTTTGTCTTGTTCTAATGGTGATGGTTATAATTGTGACGTTTATTTGGTCGGAATGGCTCATGTGTCTAACATTTCGAGGGTGGGGCAGTGGGGGAGGGCTGCCAGCGTTTTCAGGGGCGGGGGAAGGACGGGAAGGGGCTGGGGTGTTTTCTGGCGGGGGGAAGTGGAAGGGGTGGGGGTGTTTAGCGGTGGGGGAAGGGGGAGGGGTTGGGAGCTGGTTTTTTTTTTTTTTTTTTTTTTTTTTTTTTTTTAATGTTTTTGACTAATTAAACTTTGACCCTTGTTACTAAAAAAAAAAAAATCTTTTAATTAGATTATCAGTCATTTGACATGTTAAACGAAAACACCTCTAAAGTTGGGATTATTTAAAAACTCAAATTCTTATATGTGGTTGGTCACATTGTGTGGTCAACCATTATTAGAGTTATTTCGTTAATGTTATAAGGGTTACTTGGGTTACTTGATAAGTGTTATAAAGGTTACTAAATTAGTATTAAAGGGGCTACTTGGTCAGTATTACAAGGATTATGCGGTAGTGTTATAGAAGTTATTTTATTCTTTTGCAGGCAGCCACACGGTGTGGTCAGTGTTATAAGGGTTACTTGTCAATGTTATAGTGTTATAAGAGTTACTTGTCAATGTTACAGGAGTTACTTGGTCAGTATTATAGGGTAATGTTAAAGGGGTTACTTAGTCAGTAATATTACAAGGGGTACTCGATCAATGTTATAAGAGTTAATTTGTTCTTTAACAAGTGGCCACAAGGTGTATTCAGCTGCATACAAAACTATACAAGACGAGCTGATTTAAAAATAATTGAAAGTTTTTTATTTTTTATTTTTAAGGAAAAAAAAAATAGTAGTTGAGTAAATGACCCAAAATTGAAATTAACAAAACCAATTTCTCAAAAAAAAATTGAAAACCAAGCAAGGTGAAAAGGAGCTAAAGCAACTGAGCTTTAACCCTAATCATCGTCTCTCTCAGTTCGACGAAGAAGAAGAAAGGGGGAAAATGGGGACAATGGGAAGAGCAGTGTACAAAGTAGGGTTCTTCCGAGAACAATGTAATTTCTTTCTCTTCTCGTTAAATTTCTGGATTCAAAACTTTATTGTGTTTCAATTGTTGATTTCATGTATTAGTCTATTACTGTGGGACATTGCCGATTAATTTGACCTTTTTGTTTTTGGATTAGGTTAATGTGTTTGAATTACAATATTTTTTGACCAATTTTTGTTGTTTGGAAATGGGAAAGGAGATTGTTTGATTTCTGCTTTTGAAGTTTAAATTCAATGGATCATATTCTATGAACAACCTAAACAATACTACTACTGTATAATTAGTTACTGATTTGAGCTATCCAAGAGCTTTCCGCTTAAGGCAGACGGAATTCGGGTTCTATGATTAGTGGTTTGAATCTCCTTGGTTCTTCGTAAAGTTTACTGGGGTGATTTTTGCTAATCCTACATTAAAATCCAGTAATTTTCTTAGTTTAGTGAAATTGAATTGGTTTTAGTACGTGCATTGAGATGCTTTGTATTGGTATTTACATATCTTGAGAAACCTGTTCAAACCCAGGCTCAAGCTATTGGTTAGCAATTGGTTTAAGGTGGTGTATTTCACTTTATATGAACATCAAGCTAAAGAAATTACTAATTACGCATTAAAAAAAAAAAAAAAAAACCCGTAAAATATCCTGCAAATTAAGTATAACAAAGACATTTTAAGTTGTTTTTTTTTTAATGTCCTACCAACAATTGATCTACCGAGTATATGAATTCTGAAGATATAATACACAAATGTATCGTCATAACATTTAGTGACGAACTTGGAATCTTTTTGCCTCTATCGTAAAGGCTAAAGCCAAAAAAAAAAAAAAAAAAAAGAAAAGAAGGGGGGGGGGGAGAGGAAATATTATGTCTTGTTAATGGAGCATTATGTAATCAATCAAAATAATGCTCTAAAGTGTCAGGATTCAGGATTAAAGATTAATTGTAAGAACGGAGGCAATTAGGACTATAAATTTCTGCTTTTGTTGAAGCTGGAAATTTGACACAAGGACCAGGAAAGTTTTAATGTGGATTTGAAGTGGGTGGTGACAGGTTTGAAAATTTGTCCTAATTGAGTGGCTGTAGACCAGAAATTTGGCTCTGAATATTCTTTGTTTACTGATGTCCCAAATAAGGAAGGCTAGCTAATAGCAATTGCCCTAGGGACGAGGATCAATTGGGGATTTCTCTTTAGGTAACTGGTAATAGAAAGTCTACTAAAATTTTGGTATTGGCACATGAGAATTGGGAAGTTGTGCATTGGTGATTGCTTCCATCTTCCCCTTAGTTTCAGGGGCTCATATCTCTCTCTCTCTCTTTCTCTCTCTCTTATTTTTGTATTGTTTTGTTTTGTTTTTTTGTTTTGTTTTTTGTTTTGCTTTTGTTTAGCTTTTTTTTTTTTTGTTTTTTTTTTTAATATTTTTTTGTAACTTTCTTAGGGAATATTGCTGAAGGTTCTCAGTTTATCACACCTTTTAGTCACTGTTGTTATGTCTTTTGGGTTCTCATTTAGCTTATACTGTACACATTGACCGATTGACGTATATGATTGGACTTTGCTGACCCGGTCTTATGAAATATCTTATAACTGGTACTGCAATAGCGTTGTTAACTTTTTTCTTTATTTTAACTTTGCCTTGTTTCAGTGTCACGGCATCGAACTCTAATGAATGTATTTGACAAGAAGCCTTTTGTGTACAAGGAAGCATTTGTTGCACCAAGCGCATCAATCATTGGAGATGTTCAGGTTGGACATCGTTCCTCATTTTGGTATGGGAGAGGTAATGCATTGCCATCGTGTTTGACCTGTTCATAATTGGCTCAGTTTCGCATGTGCATCCTAGGGTAATATTTCTTGTATGCGGCAAGGATGCCTGTTAAGCTACATTGCTAAACTTAGTGGATAGAAAAAGACTTCATTTAGTGAAGAATGTTTTCTGAGCTTTCTAGAGATGTTTGACCTGTGGAGATATTATCAAGATTGCATGGCTGTATGATAGGTTTTGTCTTTTCAATGCATCTTGTCTTGGAAGGTCAGGAAAAAGGTCCTGATTTATTTAATAACAAAACTGATAATCTCTTTAGCTTTTTATTGGTCTATGAACTAGCTATAAGATGAGCTTACACTGCTGATGGACGATCTGAAGGTTGAGTTATAAGAGTCTCTGTTCCACTTGCAACTTGATAATCTTACTATTTAACTCAAATAGTGAGGTATATATCAGTTTCGGTTTGTATACTGATATGCTATCAGTTTATTGAATAATCAATTTTATAAAGATAGTTTAAAATTAGGTTGATTGTGTTACAAAAGTTGTCATGGCCAATTATGTAGGCCTGCAGGATTAAGGGTGTCAAGAGAGGAAATAACTTAGTTCAAATAAGAGGTTTTTAAAGATATGGGGCATGCCAACATTAGGGTTTGGTTATGCTGTATTTTAGGATGGTAATTATTCTATCAATGGGCTTTGGCTACATTTAAAGAGACAAGATTGCCTTGCCTCTCCTAGCTATGTTGCAAGTTCTTGACGTTTCTATAATTGTGCCTTTCTACAAAATAAAAGTGATTTTAGTACAAGCATTAAAGTACAAGTTGTTACCCCATCTCTAAATAGTTGGAACATTGCCTTTTGGAACAAATAACATGGAAGAGGGGAGAGAGAGCTTTTAGGATGAGGAGAGTGATAGAAAGGAGTAGAGGACCCAAGTTTCGATCTAGGTAGATACAACCTGAAGAGGAATGTGTTTCACTGATTCAATGTCCAAGTGTTCAAAGTCCTTCAAACATGCACACCTTAATTTTTTCTTGTAAGCTCGACCATGATAAGTTTCCAATTATTTTCTCTGGGTCCTATCACTACTGAGCCTCACTGCCTTTTTAAAACAATGGTATAAAAAGGATATTTCCATGGCCCCTCCATATATAATGCTTCATGTCATCTCTTTCATGTCTAACCAAAAGTGTACACACCAAAATTTATGAATATCCAGTAATGTCTGCTGTTTTCTTTTACTGGCAACACTTACACAGCTTCAATTTTGTGCAGGTGATATGAACTACATTAGTATTGGGTCTGGGACCATGGAAGCCACCATCTCCACCACCACTACCCAACCCTCCCACCAAACCCTAACCCATTTCCACCACCACCAACTCCGCCACTTCGCAAAGTGGGTCCCATACAAACCCCTCCCAAAACCCAAACTCCACCAAAAACTCCGAGCAATCAAAACCCTAAAAACTCACCTCCAAGATTCATACTTTGTCTCCCCTTTCCCTTGCCATGGCTTCTCTGCCAACAAATTTAAACCCCTTAAAACCCCTCTTTCTTCTGACCCTTCTGCTGCTAAGCTTGTTTTTGTCAAGAATTCTCTTGTTTCAAAGGCTTTTTCTGGGACCCAATTTGAGGCTTTGGGGAGTTGTATGAAGGGGATGAATTCTCTGCTCTTTGTTAAGAAGGAAGATGCTGTGGGTCCCATTTTAGGGGGTGTGAAATCTGCTGTTAAAGAAGGGAAAATGGAGTTTAATGATTTTCCTGGGGCTGTTGTTGGTGGTCAGCTTTATGGTCATTTGGATTTGGAGGTTTTTCAGAGTACCCCTTCTAAGATGGAGGCTGATGGGATGGTTCTTGGGTCGCTTTTCGGACCGTCTTCGACTTTGATGGCTGTCTTGGAGGGGTTTTGTGCTGAGGATTCTGGTAATGTGGATGCGCCTGAGGTCCTAGCTGAGGCTTAGGATGTGAGTGAGTGCCCTGCTCAATGATGTAGAGCGTCAATTGAGGTATAATTTCCTGTTATAGTGATTTTTTTTATTTATTTTTATTTTGTATTATTTTTTTTTTTTTTTATAATTTAGTGTATTTTGATAACTATTGAGATTAGTAATGAACATAGAGTTATCTTTTGATATTATGATAACGCTGATAGGGATCAAGAGGATAAGATGTATTGTATGTCATGATGAGTGGTAATGTGAATTAATGAATACTAAACAATGTTGATGGTTATATGGACAAATCACAATTATCGGGGATTCTGATTTATCATACAAGTAAGATAGTGATTGATTATATATGAATGTTGAAAGGGAGCATGTATTGTGACTATTGTCTAACCAATGCAAAGTGCTGAGCTCTTGGCATTAGTCTTATTACTAATCTTTGTATCTCTGGAAATGTTATCGCTGCCAGAACCTATATTGATATTTTATTTAACCTACTACTTTGGAGTTGATTGATGATCAAAGGATGAGATCAGCATGACCTTCAGCATGCAATCTGCTACTATGAGTAGCTAGTAGTTGAGGATCAGAAATTGGTTTCGTATTGTCTGTAGAAGGATAGACTCTTTTTAATTTGTAAAAAAGTTGGATCAACAATGAACATCGTATAGGCAGATTCCGTCCTGCATTGTATTATCTAACCAATGCAAAGTGCTGAGCTCTTGGCATTAGTCTTATTACATATCTTTGTATCTTTGGAAATGTTGCTGCTCCAGAACCTATATTGTTAGTTTATTTAACCCACTACTTTGGAGTTGATTGATGATCAAAGGATGATATCAGCATGACCTTCAGCATGTAACCTGCAACTATGAGTAGCTAGTAGTTTCGTATGGTCTGTAGAAGGATACTCTTGTTAAATTGTAACAAAGTTGGATAAAACAATGAACATCATATAGGCAGATTCTGTCCTGCATTGTGATGTTGACTCTCCATTGCCTAGCAATTTGAATTGAATTTGCTGTACCCTGAGTTATGACTTTTGACTTTAAGTGCTGTCTAAACTTCTTCTAGTTTGCACCTGTGTAAGATGCCTCACCTTATGGATTGACAGGTTATTTCATGTTTGCCACTATCTGTTGCCTGATTTTGGGATCAACTTTTCTAATTTTGGGTGTGGAATTTGTCTCCTGTAGTCCTGTCCTAATGGCAATTATGTTTCTTAGTATTATGATTGGATGATTTTTGTATAAATTTATTCCTCTCTTAGATGTAATTACTAGATGAAGTTGCAACCCTTGATTAACTTGTTGGAATGCCAAGAACTTGAAGTGCCTCATAGCTCAGTTAAATCTCAGACACTAGTACATCCTTTCTGTTTGTGCTTTCAGTTGTGCACTGATGTAATTGAGTATTTTTATTTCAGCAATCAATTTCTGAGCTCCTTAAGTAAGCGACTTTTATTTTATGGGATTTTGTAGCTTGATCTTGTTTCTTGAATATGTTTGTAGTCCCATCTGACATTAATGAATGGTTTGAGCAATAACTACGTCATTTTGTATAGCCCAATCTGGTTGCGTCGTGAAGTAGGATATTTTTGGTGAAGTAAGACTTAAGGAAGAGCTAGGATGTCTAGTGTGCCTTGTACAACTCTTAGTAGCTGTAAGAGCAAATTACATTGCTTGAGCTAGACTTCAACGGATTGTGAATTTGTGAGGAAGCTCAATGTGACAATAACTCTTCTATTTGCTGCATAAGGTCTCTAGATTTGTTCTGAGATTGCTGGTGCACCTAATTCCTTGAAACTTTCCTTCTTCCTATGATCTTATTGGTCAATTTTGATGGCTGTGTGTATGTTCCAACTTACTTGTATAATTCAATTTAGTTAACAATACAACTGATCTAATGAATATCCAATCATTTTTACTGGAAAGCTGCATTAGATAAAAGCATAAAGTTTAGGTTTGAATCAATCAATTAATGATTTAACATTGTAATGTCTTCCATTTTTGCTTCAGTCGAACTCAAGACCCATTGCCTTCAACAGAGGTCCCTCATTCCAATTTATGCCCTTTTTTATTTTCTATGATTTTGCCAGACCATCGGAATTCACCAATAACAATAATTACTATTGACATGCATGATTCCTGGAAAAGTTTCGTAACTGATAGTCTCAACTGTTGATTTAATTTAGTATGATGTTGTGTTACATCATGCCAATTTGGGTTTAACCTTCATCACATTTATGAATTTTTTTTCCTTATCCCTTGTTACTTGTACATGGAGTTTAAATTGTCTTTTTAGGATTTACCTTTATATTGTAACTCTCTTAGAATTTTAGATGCAACTGAATAACTTATTGTCTGCCATGACCTTTTGTGGTAGTGTACAAATATGTATGTGTGCTTTCTTGCATCTATATATGGAAAATGCTGATGGCACCATATACTCGTGCATTATATATGATTTTAGAGAATGTTGTGCATGATCAGGTGGTGAAGAAAAAGTTTTGGTGAAGACCGGTCTACATTCAGCGGCACTGCAAATCAGTGATCCAAACCACTGGATAGACAACCAACCTGTCTGCGAAAAGAGACACGTAGCTGAAGTTTTGTCATTTTTTAGGTTTTGATTATCTTTTCTGATAAATGTGGGGTTGATATAAGATTAGTTACCTAAACTATGGAGATTTATGTAAAAAAATTTCTCAAACTTATACCAGATGAATTGATGGCAATTGAGGCCTCTCATACTTTGTATTGCAGTTAGCTTTGACGGTTCACGTTTTTTGGTTTTGCCGTATGTTGTGTGGGCGTCTGTTGCTTAACCGATCTTTGTCAGGAATGAAAGTTTTAGTTTGGGACATTACTTGTTAATATGAAAAATCAACCTCTTGTTCTCAAAAGAATACGTGCAATACATGTGTTAAAGCCAGCAGCAAAGCAAGACAAGACATAAGCAAAACAAATGTCCTAAGAAAGAAAAGAGCACTCTCAAAGATGAAAATCATGTTAGACAGATATGGGTTAGGAAATCTGACTCTACATCTATTACACAAGAACCCAAGGAGACCTAGGTTCTTGACCCTAATGTTTGATTTTTCATGTAGGTTCCAGTGAGGGGGAACAACACGTGGTAACTCGACAGCGGTTGTTCAAAGCACTTGACTAGGGATAAATCAATATTTTTCTCACTGGACGATTACTATGGTGGGACTGTGACCTTTGGAGATAACATGAAAGGTGAAATTATTTCCATTAGAAAAGTAGGAAGGTTAAGTTCCCATGCTATTGATAATGTATTTTTGGTCGAGGTCTGAAACACAACTTGTTAAGTATTTCACAATTCTGTGACAAAGGTAACTTTTTTAGTTTTACTTTAAACTCGTGTAGAATCATCAACAATGACATTTGGAGCACTATAATAGAAGGAACTCGCAAAGGGAGTAGTTATACAATGGATCTTAACGAAGTTCCAAATAGTAGTTTAACATGTCTTAGTGTCATTGAGGATGATCCTCTACTATGACATAAGAGATTTGGTCATGTCAATTTGTCATTACTTGATAAGCTTAGATATAAGGAACTCTTGGAAGGTCTTACTTTTATAAAGTTCCAAAATGATAAAGTTTGTCATGCATGTGTTAGAGGAAAACATAATCGTGTTTCTTTTAAATCTAAAAATGTGGTCAGCACCAAAACACCTTTGGAACTCATTCATATGGATCTCAGTGGTCTAATGAGGATCCAAAGTAGAAGTGGTAAGAGGTATGTTATGGTAATAGTTGATGATTTCTTAAGGTTTACATGGGTTTTCTTTCTTGTTATCAAAGATGAAACGTTTGATGAGTTTGTTGCATTTTTGAAGAAAGAACAGAGCAGAACATGTAATCAATTAGTGCATCTTAGATCAGATCATGGAACAAATTTTAAAAACTACAAGTTTAATGAATTCTGCAGAGAACATGGAATGGATCATAACTTCTCTGCCCCAAGAACACCACAGCAAAATGGAATGTTGGAACACAAGAATAGAAGCTTTGAGGATATGGCTAGAACAATGTTGATTTCTAGTGGTTTGCCTAGGAACTTTTGGGCAGAAGTAGTGAATACAACATGCTATATACTAAATAGAGCTACCGTTATTGCTATCACCAACAAGATACCATATGAACTCATCAAAGAGATAAAGCCTAATATTTCTTACTTTAGATCATTTGGTTGTAGATGTTTTGTTCATAATAATAGTAAAAGAAACATGGGAAAGTATGATGAGCGAAGTGATGAGGCTGTATTCTTAGGATATGCACCAAACAGTAGAGCTTATAGAGTCTTTAATAAAAGAACAATGTGCGTTGAAGTGTCTGTATAGGTTATATTTGATGAAACTAAACAATTGATTAATGTACAGAAAGATGATGATGATTTTGAAATTGAACTTCTACGTAAGTATGATCCAGATAAGGAATCTACATCATTGCAGAAGCAACATTCTAAAAAGGAAGGTGAAATGAATCAAGAAGCATAGGGAACTCCACTCCAGATTCAAGAGGAAGTGGAAGTTCCTAAAGAAGTTTAGAATGAAGCTAAAGGAGGAGTCCCAAAAGAGTACCAGTCAACAATGCTACATAAGAGAGGTTGTATCCCATCAGAGAATTTAAACCCAAGTATTGGAAATATCAAAGTTCTCATCCAGTGGATACAATCATAAGCGACATTGCCAAAGGAACTCGGGCTAGAGCACAACTTAGGAACTTTTGTGCATCTATGCATTCCTATCCTCCATGGAACCTAATAACCATGTTGAAGCTTTGACAGATTATTGTTATGAAGGCATAATTGAATGAGTTTGAAAGAAACAAAGTTTAGCATTAGGAACCTAGACCCAGTCATCAGAAGACTATAAGTCTCAAATGGGCTAGATAAGCATGGTATTATTCTTAGAAACAAAGCAAGATCGGTAGCTTAAGGGTTCAATTAACAGGAAGGAATCTACTATGATGAGACATTTGTTCCAATAGCAAGGTTAGAATTCATTCGTTTACTTATAGCTTTTGCTTCTTCTATGGGATTAAGGTTGTACCAGATGGACGTCAAATGTGCATTTTTAAATGGATTTCTTGAGGAAGACGTCTATATGGAACAACCTCCTGGATTTGAAAATCCAGAGTTCCCAAACCTGTGTTTATAAACTTGACAAAGCCCTCTATTGACTGAAGCAAGCTCCTAGAGCTTGGTAGGAAAGGTTGTCTAAGTTCCTTTTGAATAATGGTTTTAAACGTGGTTTGATAAAAATTTGTTTTTAAAATAAAATGGAACTAACATCTTAGTTGTACATATTTATGTTGATGATATATTATTTTGTGTAACTAACGAATCTTTGTGTAAGTATTTTGCTAACCTCATGGGTGGAAAATTTGAAATGAGCATGATGGGTGAGTTAAATTTCTTTCTTAGTTTGCAAATTAAGCAAACTGAAGAAGGGATCATAATTCACCAACAAAAGTATATTAAAGAACTGATCAAGAAATATAATCTTGAAAATGCTAGGACCAATAGGACACCTATAGGTGTTGCAACAAAGCTTGATGAAGACCCATCTGGAACTTGCATAGATCAAACTATGTACCGAATTATGATTGGACCTCTAATTTACTTAACAACTAGCAGACCTAACATATCTTTTAGTGTAGGTTTGTGTTCTAGGTTCCAAGCAAACCAAAAGGAATCTCACCTGATAGCATTTAAAAGGATCCTTTGTTACTTAAAAGGAACTGATGATTTGTGTCTCTTCTATCCTAGAAGTGACTCTTTTGAGTTTATTGGTTTTTCCTGACATTGACTATGCAGGTGACTTAGTTAATAGAAAGAGAACTTTAGGTATGGTACTGTTTTTAGGACCGTGTTTAGTATCTTGGGGTTCTAAGACACAAAACACAGTTGCATTATCTACAGCTGAAGCTAAATATGTAGCTGCAACAGCATGTTTTTCTCAAATGTTATGGGTAAAGCAACAGGTTAGAGATTTTGGTATTTTATTTGAGTGTGTTCCGTTTTTAATGTTACAATACTAGTGCTATACGTATTTCTAAAGATCCAGTTCAACACTAAAAGGTCAAGCACATCCACGTTAGGCATCACTTTCTAAAGATAATGTGGAACAAGGGAATATTAAGTTAGAATTTTGTTAAACTGAGAATCAAATTGCAGATATTCTAACCAAGCCCTTGAATAAAGAAAGATTTGAGAAATTGAGATTGGAACTTGGGATGATCAAGGTGAATTGATTGCTTCTGAAGTTCCAAGATATGGCAAAGTCAGGAACAATGTGAAAAGAGCAAAAAGGACATCTAGCACAACCTTGGTGTGCTAAACATAGTTGAAGTGTCACCGTTGGTGAATTCTTGGAGGTTAGTTCACTAACACTTGAATGCGTGTATAATTAGTAATGTACATTGTATATGTGTAGAAAGCGTGTTCCAAATACATCTAATTTTTAGAAAATCTTATTTTTTTGAAATTAATTGAATTTAGAAAGAAAAATTTTGTTAAAAATTCATCCTGATTACTTTTTGGAAAATCAATTGAATTTGTTAATTAATGATTGAACAGTAGGTTTATTCATATCCCTCACACCGCTTCATTAATTATATAAGTATCTTTCACCCACCTTTGTCTCTCCACTATCAAATCACATAAACCGCTCTTAATAAAAACCATCTAATTCTAAAAACCATTAAACCTTCCAAAACATGGCAATTAAATTATCCAAAAACTCGTCTGAAATATCCCAAACCCCACAACATTCAAAACAAGAAGAAACATCTCTTCTAGCTATGATCTACCAAGCACCAGACAAGAACGAAGAGAAAACTGATGTAGTTCCAGAAGAAAACACCCCTACTTCCTCAACAACTAAGAAAATCCCTAAGGAGAAGAATTCATCTGGAGATGATATATCGTCTTCAACAGATGTGTTCAAGAGGTTACAGGAGTGGAAGATAAGAAGGTGAAACAAAAATCACTTGAAGAGTGCATCAAGGAGGTCGAAGATTTTGCTGAGGGGGAAATACAATCGGAGGAAGATTGAGAAAGAGTCTGTAGAGGAGGATGAAGATCAAAAGGAACTTGAGAAAGAGTCTATAAGGTATGTTGCTGGCCATAGGCTAGATTTAACTTGGTGCGGAAAATCTAGTTTTATGGAATTTCTTGATTTATTGCATGTATAAGGATGAGAAGATATGTTAGCTAAATCTTCAAACAATTGCATATACCCATTGGCCATGAATGAATTCTGTGAAAATTTCAAAGTGAAGGAAGGAATAATATCTAGCAAAATTAATAATGTTGAGATTAAATTTGATGTTGAGAGGTTAGGTGACATTCTGAAAGTTCCTACTTAGGGTTATGAGGCTTATGTTAAAGGGAAGTCAGGTGTGAAGGTGGGGAATTATTTGGGAGGTGACATAGTTGAGTTTCTAGGAGGAAAAAGGGGGATCAACATTTTGAATCACAATAATTTCAATCCTACGAATAAATTCCTGTTTAATTTGGTAAAAAAGGCTATCCTACCTAGAACTCAGGAGAAAGATGAAGCAAGTTTGTTGGATATGGCAGTGATCTTTTGTATCGTGAATAAGATAAAAATTAACTTTCCTTCTCTAATGTCTCAACACTTAGCCCACTGCATCCCTGACAGAAATAAAGTAGGTTAGGGTGCTCTACTCTCTACTGTATTTGAAGCACATCGAGTGAAACTCAAGGGAGTTTAGGGAGGATTGTAGGAGAAGGCAGAGAATGTTATCAATGAAAAGACGCTGCAGGCTTTGAGCCTAACTTTGGTAGGTAGAAAACTTCAGATGGTGGAGG